TTTGGAATATAAATTCTATAAAGTAAATATTCAATTACGTTCATTCAAATGGAAGGGACAAACGGTCATGGGTTGTTTCTCTATTGAGAGGTCATTGGTTCGAATCCCTGCGGCGACATCTACTTACCTAGACTTTAATTCTAAGTTATGTAATATGAGTTTTTAGTAACGATATCTCTCGCCGATAGTGAAGAAAAACAATAAAGGTAAAGGTAGACGTCTAAGGTTCACAACAATTGGAGAACTTGTCAAGTCCCTGGCCTGTAATGGAGTGGACCGTGGTCGTCAAAATATCAATCAATCAATCAGCATATTGCAGTCCACTGCTGAACATAAGCCTCCCCAAGTGTAGTGCCCTATCACCCGTTTTCCGCATCCAACCACTACGCGCAACTTTCTTCAGATCGTCGGTCCATCTTGCAGGGGGACGTCCTACGTTACGTTTGCCGAGACGTGGTCTCCACTCGACAACCCATCTACTCCATCGCTCATCGGATCTGCGACAGATGTGGTCAGCCCACTGCCACTTCAGCTTGCTACATTTCTGGACGATGTCCACAACTTTAGTCTTATAACCGGATAACTTCGTTCCGGACTTTGTCCCTTAACGAGATACCCAGCATAGACCTTTCCATAGCTCGCTGAGTGACGTGTAGTCTGTGAGCCAGTTTAATAAAACAGTAATAACAATAGTTAATCTACACTACGCCAACTTAATTTTTAGACCTGGCGTGTCGCTTACCACCAGCCACACGACTTGTTCGTCTCGATACTTGTTTTCATAAAAAAAGAACACAATGTTTATTTGAAGTGTCATAGATAGAAACAAACTGAATGATCTAAACAGGGTGTCTGCTCCCGTTCACCGTCTGACCGAAACAATTACTGTCAAATAAGTAATACACGACCAAAACCAATGACAATGCCAAGTATAAAGCTTCATTCGCACCATGCGTTTTTTAATTTACTCGAGTATTGCTTATTTTATGGTAATTATTTCGGACGTATGTCGGATGGAAAACGAGAGTACCGGGCCCTGTTCTGTTTTTATTTTGTTTCTTGTTTCTTTATTGTTTTTAACCGATTTCAAAAAAAGGAGGAGGTTCTCAATTTGACTGTATGTTACGCGATAACTCCGGTATTTGTGAACCGATTTTTATGATTCTTTTTTTGTTGGAAAGAGGGTACCTCTATAGTGGTCCCATTTAATTTTGAAGAGAATCATTCATTCGTTTGATATTTGGTTTCTCAACGACTTTTTAGCATCTATGAGAAATCTACGATGTTTCGTCACCCAGTTAGATACCTTTGCAACTACCAGTCCCGGCTAAAGATGTCGCTATTCATACTTAAATTTTTATTGAATTGATATTCAATTATTTTTATGTGAAATTGTCTTTTGTTTCTTTATTTTTTAACCGACTTCAAAAAAGGAGGAGGTTCTCAATTCGACTATATGTTCTTTTTTTTTTTCTTTTTTTTGTATGTATGTTACGCGATAACTCCGGTATTTGTGAACCGATTTTCATGATTCTTTTTTGTTGGAAAGGGGACACTTCCATAGTGGTCCCATTTCATTTTGAAGAAAATCATCCACCTCAAAGGGTGGCTGTTCACGCATGAAGATTCATTTTTATAAATAGCGCCTAACTTTAATTTAGGAGCAATTATTTTAATGGTTGATTTTGCTATTTCTTCTCAATTCAAGGCGTTTTTCTCTCAATATACTTTGAGTAGTGAGAACCGATTATTATTATTTCCAGTGTCAATTCCTGTATAGTGGCGAACTAGGGGATATTTCAATAAAACTTAGCAAATAGGCGTAATTCCACGTACTTTTGATGTCGGTTTTTTTAGTACTCTGTACTGTGATTATTATTCTTAAATACTAATATAGTAAAGAAATATGGCTGTTTACAAAAATAACAGAAAATAACAAAAATAAAATTGGCGTAATGTTAATTAGAGATATCGATCTGTATAGCCCCACTGCTTCTCTTCTCACAATGTTTTCCGACACTGAAAGCTTATAATTTCCAACTCACGGTCCTCTGCTAGAGAAGCTATAAAATCAACGGGCTACCACAGCTTTTTATATATTTTATTGCAATGTATATTATTTAGTATAATTGTAAAACCCTTTGCGTGTCCGTGGTCGTTCGCCTCGTCTGATTCAAAGCGGCCAAACTTCTAATTAATTTACAAACAAACAACGGAACGGAGCAATAACTCACTATCAGTTTTTAACCAATAATTATTTTGTTAGCGTAATGTTAAAATATCTAAAATACGTGAGAAAATTGTATAAACAAATTTAATTCATTAAGGTTTTCCATATCTAAATTGTAAATTTGTTATAATAATTAACGCAGAGATTGAACACTTAGAAATAATTCCTTCGATCCGGCCGGTTTCTAAATACTTTCATAGATTTCTCATAGACAGCGCTACGACTAAAATGTCGTTGATAACCAAGTACAAATTTTCAACAACAAGTACATAGAAAAATTCGTGAGGTCCGCTGGTTCGTTCCGTGACTTAGTTGGCATAGCCTCTGGCACGGTTTGATAGAAGACGTCGGTTCTCTGTCTTCTGTTTCTATTACGTAATTTGTTTCCAGAAACTTATTGATTGATAATCAGAACTGCAGGAAGTGGAGGCCTGGTGACCTAAAACACAGGGTATCCTAGTTTAGTCTCCAGCCTCTACAAATTTTCCTGTTTACGCTACCATTATGTCATTTAAATTGTTACAAATTTGTGGAGGAAATAAAGAATAGTAAATTCATCGGTCAAAGAAATTTTTTCTAAGTATTAATAGTTATAACAAACTAGTGGAATAAAAATAATTGAATATCAATTCAATTTAAAAAATTTAATTTAATTGTAAAGTGTGAAAAGAATATATAATAAGTATTTCAATTGATTTCTGAAAGATACTATTGGTAAATCGATTTTTTGTTGATGGCACCTGGTTTTATTCGGTGAAGGAAAATGTCTTGATAAAACTTGCACGTCGAAGAAGTTTCACAACACTCGGACGATTTGTGAAGTCCCCAGCCTGTATTAGGTCAGCGTGACGGACTTTGACCTAAACTGGCCTGAGAGGAGACCCGAACCTAGCAGGGCGGATGAATGGGTTGATTATGATAAATGTTGCCACCACCAAAAATAAAATATTATATTATTAGTAGCAGTAGAGCTCCCTGTGAAAAAGCTGGCCCAGGGAAATACTGCCACCTTACCTATTTCTGCCGCCAAGCAGTAATGTAAGCATTTAAGGGACAGTTTTTAAGAATAAAGGTGCTGGTGAAACTACAGGAACATAGGACTTGTCAACTTATGTCTCAGGGTGACTGGGGCACTGTCAGAGTCTCTCAGATCTTTGCCATTTAAAGCACTGAGCTCAACGCAACTGTTGTAGATAGGCGTGACGTCATAACATCAGGCATACGAAAGGTTCGTCCCGGCACGTGTTATCATAAAAACAAGAGGTTTTCCTGCAACATGAGAGAGATAACGCTAGTGAACATTCACATAGAAATTATCTTATATCACATTTTACTCGAACAACCTTTGTCGACAGTTAGTCACGTAAAACTCCAGATAAGCCCATTTTGAAATAAAGAAGAAATATAAGCGACCATATATTCCTGAATAAACCAATGAACGAACACATTGACAGATCTCTATTAATGCAGTAAATTAACTTCAACATTCCTCGTCCTTCTAGCCGTCTCGTAAATAGAAAAACTTTCAGTCTTCCACACACTCGTACTAATTATGGTCAACGTACATGTTTATATTATATTTTTTTTATAATATTAAGTGACAGGACGAACAAGTCGTGGGCCTGATGGTAAGCGACACGCCTGTCCATAACAGTAAGCTACTCAGAGCTTTTAAGCGCCCGTCACCCTGAGACATAAGTTAACAAGTCCCATGTGCCTGTAATTTCACGGATGACGGACCGAGAACGGAACCCTGTTCCCGAGCCCTGAACCCTGTTCATCATACAATCGTATTTGTCAGGATTTATATTGTTTAACACCTCAGTCTGTTCTTTTAGGAGCTTATTGTTATTTTTATGTTAAATTTGAAATTCAAAACCATTTTATATTGTTTTGTAAAATTATTTTTTAGTTAGTACCTCCAACAGGTTTCAAAACTTAGTTTTTCTCAATATCAACAAAACTGTTATATTCAGCGTGCTGTGTTCACAGTGAGAAAGATATGAAGACTTCGACAGTTAAAATGACTATTGTTTATTTTTATGTAATTTATTTTGTGTATGCTCAGTTCTGTGAACCAAATTAACAAAAAAAATTAATTACCGGTGCATGGCGCCACAGAGATTCGAACCGTCCACCTCTTAAGTTAGAAGCAGCTGGACTATAATGCTCCTTAAAAAATCCTCCTTGCAAATTGTTTACAACAACCAATAAATACAAACTAAAATAACAAAGCTAAATGTTTAAATTGTCTACGAAACTTATTACTTAGTAATGTGAAAGTAGGCACTCTCATGGATTCAGTGAACCGGAAAATAGGCGTTAATTCCCAAACTTTATATTTACTGTCGAATAGATTCGGCACTTATAACCGGGAAACTTGTTCGAACCGTAATGAGAAGTTCGTTAGTGTAATTTTTAATTTTCAATTCAATAAAGTTCATATCAATTTGCGAAGTTGATCTTTATTATGGATTAAACAACACATCACCCGAGTGGTATATTTACCTCCTAAATATGTACCGACATCGGTACGTGAGAACTAAGGACCTTAAGGTCCTTATTTTGGAACAAAAAATAACGAAAACGTAAGTATTGCAGAAAAAATCACGTAATATGAAGTTGATCATTGGAATATTCGTAGTCGCGTAGCACTTCGTAGCGCGTAGCAATACTTCACGCATCTGTTCTTATGTACAATAACCTTTTGAAGTTTCATATTACTCTTTTAATACATAGTGTAAAATCAATAAAATAAAATTTTACTTACAAGCAAACTTCAAATGCACGGGGTATCCCATAATCAAGCCGCCATAATGCCGCATGGCACACCGGTACACCCCATCGCCCCCATCTCGTCGTTTTGCCACCTCCAACGCTCCTGATGGAGTTACCCTGGAAGAAATGTCAAAGGTTAATGTTATCTATAGAACTATGACGTCACTCTTGTCAAAGATAAAGAGAGTAGCAAGCAATGTATTAAAACTTGTCCAAACAAAAAGGGTCGAAGTAATAGGAAAGATATCTACGCTGCAAAAAATGCAGTGTTCTGCTGGAACAAATAATTTCTAGAAACTTTTGTCGAATACATAAAAGATTTTTAATGAAATGAACTTAAAATTCTGAAACCAACATGTATACAACCTTTAAAATTGTAAGTTACATCTATCCATGGTAAAGTACGTAAGAGACAATTCAAAAAGTAATTTTTGAGAAACCGAAAAAATAAATTTAAATAAAATCTCGCGTGGCACCGGCCACATATGCTATTGCAACAAAATTCTATTCGAAAAACGGTACCGTTAAGTTGAGTAACTTCAATGTCCTTGTAACTTTTAATAATAATAAATAATAACAGATTTGAAGATTCTTTGCTTTTTCTCAAAAAATTGATAACTATATGATGCGGAAAGATCAAATATTACATAACTTTGACAACCCCTTTTTCGACCAATACATATTTATATATTTTGATATCCTTATAAAACACGAGAAAAGTATTCAAGAGTACCCAAGTTGACTGTGTACTAGTTTTTGTTTCCTTTTTCTACGTCTTTCCTTTGCTAATTTTATTTTTGTCAGTTACCCAAAAGTCACTTTTCGAAATAAGCCACTTTATTCATTCTAAGAGAGTTTTAAATTTCACATTATATGACGCACTGCTATTACAATAGTGTTGTAACCAAAATATGTGAAATTCATCACTATAGTACCACTAATTAACGTAAAATTTGATTCTTCACGCATCAATAAAACCTTCGATAGAATATTGAAAGGACCAATTTAAACATGTGCGACGTACAGAGTTAAAAAAAGGAGGAGGTCATACGTTCGGCTGTATGTATGTTTACGCGATTTCTCAATTTTGAAAATTATTTTTTTGTTTGAAAGGGTGCACTCTCGGGATGGTCTCATTATCACAAAATCAGGATCTGATAAGGGGATCCCATGGAAGTCGAGGAAAATCTTCAAATTTTATACGCATGTCAGTACGTACTCACGATTTCGCCGTCAATTGTAGACCCACGTTGAAAATCCTTATTTTGTTTGAAAGGGTATAACTAAAAAATGTTTTCCGTAAATAGAAGTCGACTTTCCACTTGACATAATACATATAATCAACAAATCACTGTCACCATGACAACCAGGAAAAAGTATAAAATGTATTAAATTCCATGACTTTTTACAAAACATAATAAACATACAAAAAATAAACTTTTAAGTTTTTGTTGTACTATCTAACACTTTTTAGACCTACATTTGGTAGTAAGATCAAATGTGCGTCCCACGCGATGACTCCCACCCATCCTGTACAGAGTTAGCACCGCTTAGAGCGATCTATTTAAATATATTTACTTTACATGAAAATAAATCTGATAAAAGTTATGATACGAAAATTGTTGTTTATGATGTTAGTAATATAGTCCTGGGAGGTTGTTAATATTTTATAAATAATCCAGTATACAAAATAGCTCGATATGAAATTATATTTTCGCTTTTTTTACTAAGTATATCTGGCAAGTAGAACATTGTTTAGACATGTGTAGTATATTTTTCAAGGGAGGCGAGTAGTTAGTCTTTTATCGGTTCTGAAAAAATATGTTTTGAGTTATAATACATTTTTGTATAAATAGTGCCATGTATAATTTGTTTCATGTAGTTCATAGTTTCCCAGTGATCCCTACATCTCTGCCCCCCAGTGGGCGCTGAAGAGTGTTAGGGCGGTAGAGGCCTCTGAAGCAACTGGGGGCCGTTGATAATGTCAAGGGGGTGCTACCGCATTTGAAAAAAAGAATCTTAATTAAAACTACACTACAATTTTTTCTCTGTGATTTTTTGTGTGAAGTTAATATAAAAAATACGTGTTTTTAATTATTTTTTGTTGTGGTGGCCGTTTAAATTTTTTATCTTGCCTAAGTGCGGTGAGCCGTAAAATTTGGGAACCTATGGTGTAATTCGTATTATTTTTGTGACTTTAGTGTGATTAAAGCACTTTTGGCGTACGATCACATGTGACTTTATAAACCAAGGGTACGATTTGTCACTTAGACCCTTTCACTTTTCGAGTCGATATAACCATTTTAATTGCGACTTAAAATAAATTATCTTAAATTACCATTTCGGACTAAGCTTCTCATCCCCCTTCCACCACAAGTACGGCTTCGGCCGTGGTCTGTCTTCGGCCTCGATGGGTGGTGGCGGGCGGCGAGGGGTAATCAAATGCGCGTGCGGCACTTCGCATGGCAGCGACGCTCGCGCGGTTACAGACCATCTCACGGGTGCATCTGTGGAGTAACAAGTAAATTAATTAAACCGTAAGTCAAATAACGAAGACTGTTGTCGAAAAACTGCCTAAAACTGGTTATTATAAGGTATTTTTTTAGATTGTATAGCGAACTATTAATTAAATAAATCACAATATGATTAAACTTGTTACTTAAAATTGTTGCTATAATTATAGTGTGTGATACAGTTAGATGTAAACAATTTACATTGTCATCTTCAACAACATTTTGTTCAATATAATTACTTTTTTATCGTGTAGTTGCTTTTTAAACATAATAACAGCGTAAACCAAAGTGGCACTCGGTTAGGTATATACAGAACATACAATACAATATTATCTCCGTACAATCTTCCTTTTACTTCTATATACACTACCGAAGTCAAATAATTGATAATTACGCATCAAATATATAGAACAAAATATAACACAATAATTACTGTGTTTCAAAAGGTAACGCGATATCCATTCTATGTAATACTACCTAGAAGTTCAGTTAAATATGCTCTACTTATTCCGATATCTAATATATACAGGGTGACAGTTTGAACGCGATAAATATTTAAAGAGACGAATGAGTAGCTAATACCCATACCTAAAAAGTAAAAAAACACGGCCTTACTTTTAAATATTTTTCTGTAAGAAAAACACTGCCTCTAATATTGTGTAATACTCTTACCTAGAGGTGAGCGTTTAAACGAAAAGCACTTTAAAAGTCTGCATTTTAAAATAAGCGCATAAGCACGCTTTTCATTTTAAGCGTAAGCGTTGGTCATGGTCAGTCAGAACAGATAAGGTCAGAACGTTTTTCTAAACGACTTTTTAAGCGTCAAACTAAAAAGCGTTTATATGAAAAGCGCTTTTGCAAGCACGCTTTTTAAACGTACGTTTTAACTTTAAAAAAATAAGCAGTTTTTTCCATTTTAACGGTTAACAACTACAAAAATTAAACAACTTTCACTTTTCTTGTTGCGCACGCGTTGAACGGGTAGGCCGTATCACACCCCCGCCCAAACGCGCTCGTTGTTGCACCGCCACCGGCCACCCGCTACCGCCCGGTTAGTTCGCTTGCGGTCTTAATTTAGAGATTGTTTTGTGAATTGAGACAGTGTTAATTTAGACGGGACATCGTCGCGTATTTGTTTTGTGTACTTATATAGCCTGTGTAGTTCAGTGGAGTGCAATGGCGTTTATAACGACGCCATATCACTACACAACTGAGGAATATTGGGACATGATGCAGTGTTACGTAATGCAAATGCAAATTATGTTGTTAGTCGTGATAGGGGCTGGTACCGAGAAATGTTCCTTAGTCGGCGAGATCCATCCTACACATTGGTGTTAGGAGTAAATTTTGACTGTAGTATTTTTTAAGTAGGATGAATCGACACGCGCTCATAGCGCGGCGCGGGAGTTCAATTTCTTTCAGACGTTTCATAGAGTAGCCCAAATGAAGGGTGTCAGTATTTGTAAAATGGCACATTTTTTTTCCTAAAGGCCGATTTTTTTACATATTCGGATAAGAAAACGGCTACTCGTTTGCCTTTTTAAATATTTATCTCGTTCAACCAGTCACCCTGTATTATATAACTTTATTTACTTTTAGGTAAAAAAGAAGACTTGTACAAACCTTTGATCGAAGTAAAATTATTAAGGCCAAACTTACCTCATTTTGATGAAATAGCAGCAATAAAAAAACGATAACGAAAAGATATTTTAAAAGTTGAAAGCTTTTAACAGATCACCTATCAAAAAAACCTAAAATAATTTTTATATAAAAAATTCGAAGTTACCTTTATTCACAAGTTATAATTAAAAAGATTTTAAGATTGTCTAAGAGCTAGAACGTAACAAGGTAACCTTCTCTAAAGCCAACAAAACATCCGTAACCTTCAGATTAGTAAAGGGAATAACTAATTAAGACACATGATTGCCATGCAACAGTAATTTATAAGTCAAAGGTAATTCATTTAAGTGGCAATGTATACGCTTCTAAAATAATATTCCAATTGATA